AAAAAAAATTGCAAAAATCTAGTTGGCTGAGTAAAAGATATCACCTCTACCACAAGTCCTGATTCCTTTTGGATCTAATTCTCTGTATGAGAAACGCACAGGACCTTGTTCGCTCACAACGGCATGATGGACTGTGCTGCGTGTGGGGGAAAACGGTGGCTCAAAGCATAGTCGTCAAACCCAGAGGTTTCCCAGAAATGGGTGCCTAGAGGTCAAGAGTCTTCGAATCTCTACCGTGTGTTTCTTCTTTTGCTCCCTGTGGTTGCTTGGAGGATGCCTGCCTTGGCTACAGAATGGTTTTGGGATGTTTGGCAAGACACGTCCTCTCCCCGGCATCTTCAACGAGTGAATTCTACGTGAGTTTGCAAGCTGAATGGTGGGCGTTGAACAAAGATGGCCTTTACTGGTCTGCAAAGTGCAAACAACCCAACATGAAGCCAGTGGCTCTGGTTCAAGTACTAGGCTTTGTGTCCCTCTGAGCCATGGCCCTGTTGGTTGGGCATCTCTTCTGAACAGAGCGGAGCTGCGAGTTTAGGCTCTGTTGCGTGGCAGAGTCCTGTTCATCACCCCCAGACTCAGAACTAAACTTGGATACCCTGCTTGGAGCCCATTCATTCAACAATGCCGTCTCGGTGCTTTGTTAACCATTCAAAGGACGCTGTACTGCTTGCAGACTTATAAATCCACCCCCTTGTGAAACCAGCTTTAACAAATTAATGAGCTGTAGGTGCAGCTGGCAATGGAGGATTGAATCCAGTACTTAAAGCACCTGTGAGGGTGTCACAGATGGCCCTGCAATGCTACCCAGGTTAGATGTGCAAATGCCACCTGTGATTCACAAGATGAACCCAGAGATTTCAAATAGGAATCCGGAATGTCTCAGACCCTCTGACCTGTAGTGGGCTTGCTGAGTTGTTTGCCACAAAAGAATTGCCTTTTTTTTTCTGTAGTAGTAATAATAGTAATAAAAAAAGCCAGCTCTTAGCTTTCAGTCAAGGGGGGCAGGGGAGGTTGAGCCTCAAAAATGTGAGAATTTTTTACATTGGTAAGAGCGTTGCCAGCAGATCAAGGGAAGTGATTATTTCTCTCTCTCCTGCACTGGGGAGGCCACATCTGGAGTCCTGTGTCCAGTTGTGGGCCCCCCCGCTACAGAAAGGATGGGGACAAATGGGGAGAGTCCAGCAGAGGGCAATGAAAATGGTTGAGGGGCTGGAGGACAGGACTGGTGAGAAGAGGCTGAGGGACCCGGGCTGACTGAATCTGCAGAAGAGACGACTGAGGAGGGACTTGATAGCAGCCTTCAACTACCTGAAGGATGGTTGCAAAGAGGATGGAGCTGGGCTGGTTTCAGCAGATGACAGAACAAGGAGCAATGGGCTCAAGTTGCAGCAAGGGAGGTTTAGGTTGGAAATTAGGAAAAACTCTCACCAGGAGGATGGTGAAACACTAGAGCAGATTACCCAGAGGGGTGGTGGCACTTCCATCCTTGGACGTTTTTAAGGCCCAGCTCAACCAAGTCTTGGCTGGGATGATGAAGTTGGGGCTGGTCCTACTTTGAGTAGGAGGTCAGACTAGATGTGACTTCCTAAGGTCCCTTCAATCCTCATTTTCTATGAGTCTAGCCATTAACTTGTAGGAAAAAGGAAGAGGCTGCCATAATGGCTTAGGACAGCCACTGGAGGGAGACGTGGTCATACACCAAATGCAAGGCTCCCTGAAGCTTGCACAGCCCCCACAAAGGAGAGGGTATGCTGCAATGGATGCTCCATGCACAGCTTGTTGCTTTTCCTTTACAGAAGATGCTGCCTAATGTTATCTTTAAGAAGCCATTTGAGTTGTGGAAAGAAAAGTGATTGCTGTGGATGTGCCCTGTATACCCGTGCAGCGCTCTGACAGGCACCAGGCTCACAGAGGGGAAAATACTCCAGGAGAACGGGGCAGACCTGTTGCTTTGTGCCAACCTCCACCTGTTGCTGTCAGGTTTGGGCAAAAATCATGTGGTCGGAGTCAAAAGCATCTGTGCATGCTGGTGTATACCTGTGCCCTTCATTTCCAACTCAACGTCCCACCCTTGAATGCCCTTTTCTGAAGAAATCCAACTCAGTTGGGTTAAAAATCCCTCTGACTAGTCACAGAGATGGACTCGAGTCTGCCTGCTCCAGGACATCCGAGTCTGCAAGGACTTCCCAGGACTGGTGCCTGTTCGCACCTCGGGACTCGGGTGTAGCATGTCCCACTTGAAACGGGCAGCCAGACTTCCTATGTGCCAGTCTGCAGGGAAGAAACCTGGGGAACAAATGCAAATGCGTCTTGGTTAAATGGATGCACCTGTTGACTAGGTAACACCCTCTCAGCCAGAAACACAGTGCAACCATATGCGTGCCAATGGCTTTCCTAGAAATACCTGTTTTCAGGATATTTTAAATCTTCATCCAAAAGAAGCTGATTGTGGGGCTGGGATGTAGGACTACGATGGATGCAAGACAATCGGTCCCTTAAGACTTCCTTCTGCTCTGATGGGACCGCGTAACTCAGGGGGAGCTTCCTGGGTGACTTGGCAGTGAGGCTTGCGGCACCCCAGACTCGACTGCAGTGCGAATCTAGGTGAATATTTTGGAGCCGTCTTGCACTGGGAGGCTGCGCTCCCTGCAAGGCTGCTGCTGAATGCTGAGACAGAGAGTGGGTTTCTTGTCAGCACTGATTGCAGGAGCTGGCTGTGCCTTCGTAATTTAAATAGAAGCCTGTTTTCTTTTATGACTGCGGTAAACATCTCTATTCGTTTCCCGGGGAATGGGCCACTTTCGCTGCACCACAGGCGCACGCAACGTAACGTCCTCCTCCTCCGACTGCAATTTGTGCGTGAAGAGCCATCGGAGCACCGCTTGCTTGTGTGTGACATTCGAGGGCCAACTTCATATTCGGAAGTATGTCCTCGTTATCACAGCCTTGTTTTATTCACGGAGGAGCACACCCGCCTTTTCCCCTGCCCACACCAGACATCAGCTGGCTGCATCTTTTTTTCTTTTTTCCTCCTCCAACAAGCTGGCAAAAGTGGTGCAGGGAATTGGTCCATTGGGCAGCTCTTGCCTTGTAGACCAGCGGTGACTCGAGGCTCAAAGTTTTCTGAAGTCGTCTGTGTGGTTGGTTGCTATGAAAGTCTCCAAACCCTCGTTTTATTAGTAAGTCTTTGTGACATTTCGCAGTATTTCCAAGGCTGCACAAGTCCAATGGCCACCTCGCATACCTTGTGCACCATCACGGGTACAACATCGCTCTTGCACTACCACAGTCCCCTACCACTATTGCACGACACAACAAGGAGCAATGGGCTCCAGTTGCAGCAAGGGAAGTTGAGGTTGGATATTAGGAAGAACTTTCTCACTAGGAGGGTGGTGAAGCACTGAAACAGGTGACCCAGAGAGGTGGTGGCATCTCTATCCTTGGAGATTTTCATGGCCCAGGTAGACAAAGCCCTGGCTGGGATGATGTAGTTGGGGCTGGTCCTGCTTGGAGCAGGGGGCTGGACTAGACGTGACCTCCTGAGGTCTCTTTCCACCCTCACTTTTCTGTGATTCGCTCCAATACTGCAGCCTAGTTGAAAAGCAGCGCTGGGTTTTTCTAGACATATCATGTCAAAAGGGGGCTCCATGCAGCCACTCAAACCACTGTTTCCCCTCTCATCTATCAATCTGTCTCTCCGATGGGTCAGTAATATGGGCACCTGGGACTTGGATGCCCGTCTCTCATGCCCCTTAGTTTCAATGCACCAAATTTCTTGGAAGCATCATTATAAAGGGTTGCACACTGTCAGAAGCACATCTGTGCTGAATTTGGGAAGAGCAGGAGTTCTCAACTTTCCTGATTCAAGGGTGAAGGTTTTTCCAGCTATTTAAATTGGTCTAATAAAAGATATCGGATTCACCCAAAGAAACTTGTCTGCCTTCCTGAGTCAAGACACCCCTAGGTAGATTCAAAGTCCCCCCCATCCCCTTGGAAAATGTCACATCTTTGTTTAAAAGAGTGAAAACTCAGAGAAATAATAGTGCATTTTTTCTGTTGCAAAGAATGCAGGAAGCCCAGCACTATGGACATCTCTTGGAAATCTCTGGGTCTATCCTACAAATTATGGTGACATTGAACAGACGCCCTTGAAAGGATCTGGAGGCACCCCGGAGTGCTGTGGCACCCTGGTTGAGAATCGCTGGGGCAGAGGTTGAGTCAGTCGCGTGTATTTAGCAAGGGGATTTGTCTGTCTATCCAAACTCCTACGGTGGGTTGTTGTTTTTTTTTAACATGCTGCTGTTTTTATGCTGTGTAGTGTCTTCCTTTGGAATCATGCCATTGATTTCAATAGGGCTGCTTGGATACCCTACTCAATAGGAGGGAGGGGAGCAGTATCTGCCCCATCTTCGGGCCTGCAGTGGGCTAGACAGTCAGGGGCGGGGAGGTCTGTAATTGCAGGGTGCAGAATAGCAGCTGGGGGTGTGGAGGGGGAGCTGGGTGAAGTGATCTCACTAGCACCCTGCAAATGCCACCCTGCTCTCGGGGTTGCCCTCAACCCTCTGCCTGTGTCCAGCACCCATCTGGGGTAAGGAAGAGCAGGGCAGGCATTGCTTTCACCATCTGGCACCACTCTCTTGGCCCTTTCTGGTTTCATTGCTGAGCTAGATTCAGACAACATGTGGCAGCAACTGCCCCAGACCCCTTGTTAGCTGGGCTATGAGCCCACCCAAGGGGCAGGTGGGCTAGAAGAAGCAGGGGATGACTCCCTCGTAACACTTCTAATAGTATCTAATAATAATAACTAACATCAGTCTGGGGCATCTTCACGGCCACTCTATTAAAACTCTTTGCTTGTCGCTTTATTTGCTTCGACCTGTTCAGAAATTCAGTGCACGCAGAGAAGCTATGGCCCGGGATCCCCCTTGGCAGAGCAGCGAGTTTTCCAGGGAGATGGCTCTAGCCAGCCTGTTTGCAAAGAGGGAGGGGAAAAAAAAGCATTGAGCCAATAAAAGAAAGTGACTTTATCTCTTGCGTTTTACAGTCGGGGGAGATACAACCGGTCTTACGTTACAAGCAACACGCACGCGGCATATACAACATAAATTATAGATCACGGGGTGGAGGGGGGCAATGGAATAGGAGTTTTGCTCTGGCGAGGAGGGTCATCGCGGCTTTAGGGGCTAAACCTGGTATTCCACCGCCCGTCTTCATGGCCGTCGTGTAACCTGCTGACGGAGGAGCGGAGCCTGCGATCCCCGGAGGAGTGCAGAGTTCATTCGCCCCTTCTAGGATGGCAGGGCCCGGTCGTGGGGCAACACGGGCTTGTGGGACCCACGAGGGCAGGGGCCGACCGCCACACGCACGCACACACGATACCGAACATGCACAGCGGGTCTCGCACGCTGGTGAGCACGGGGGGTACAAAAGGCCGACGCGTCGTTGGGAGAGCAGGAGTAGCCAAAATCCCGCGGTGGGTCCGTGCTGTACGTACAGCCTCCATCTCCAGCGCAGCCGGGCTGGGGCGCGATTGAATAGTTGTGGGGTGGGTCAGAGTCTTTGTCCCTTTTGGGAAGGGTCCCAGGAAGCTCAGACCAGGGGCCCAACTGTCCTTACGTCTAGCTAATGCCAGGGGGCTCGGTCCTGATCTTCCTGACACTGGTTCAACTGGAGTCCGCTGAAGAGGGTCGGCCTCGGGGAAGCCAAGAGCGAGAGGGAAGGAGCAAGGCGGGGGTGTTGTGTCACCTTTTGGGTAGAAAAATGACAACTCCGGTTAAAAGACAGGGGAGCTAGGGCCCGATTCTCCTCTCCCTTCTCCCCACTGAGCGGAAGCTGCTTTGGATCGAGCCCTTAGCGGGGGGCCAAGCCAGCCTTCCCCTGCGGGTGTCAGTGCAATTAATCCTGCAGAGCAGAGGAGCGGACAGGAGAGCCAGGCCCTTGGGGGAACAGTTGCTTTCTCCTCTTTGGGGCGTCTGGCCAGCAAGGAGCTCCCATCCAACAGGCCCGGCAAAGCAATGGCCAAAGCGGGCGCGCTGGGTCCCAGGGGCAATGCGCCACGATATCCATCGCCCGCCTGCTGCTCCCAAACACCCGGCTGTCCTGGGGGCTGTGGCCCAGCTCTAATGCTGATTCCTCCTCTCTTGCAGAGCGGCTGCTTTCCTTGGGCTCTCGTTTGTCGTGACATTTTCTGTCTCGCGCGCGCACGCTCCCCGTGGTCAATCCCCCGGGTCAGAGGTAATTTGGGTGCTGCCTTGTTCTGAGAGCTGTTTTAATTTTCCAGTTATTTAACCTGCTGGGAGCTGGGTGGGCTGCGGGCTACCTGGGAGCTGGGGCTGCCTCAGCTTTGCCTTTTGGTGCCTGCAGGGAAGAGAGACCCTGCTTGGCTTTGCTGTCCTAGAGCAGGGTGAATCCCACGTGGGTTGTTCCACGGGTCCCCTGGCTTTCATTTCCTCTCTATAAAACCTCAGCCTTTTGCAGGGAAAGCCCCTTCTGATGGGAGCTGTGCGTGCACGTGCGATTTCTCTCCCTTCTCAAGTTATGTGGATGCACGCCTGAAGCTGCAACTGCGCTGTCTGGGATCCAGCTCTTGCTGCTGCACGCGCGCGTTTTAAATGCAGCGGAGGATAGGTGTAAAACAAGAGGGATGGGACCTGCCGGCAACTGCAGCCAGCAAGAGTTTTGTTTCTGCGCCTTTTTTAATCTGGGGCAGAGGGGAAAGGTGCTGACGTAACAGGAGCGAGACGGCCCCGCATCCGGCTTTCCCATGGGCTCGGGGAAGGGGGAGCCTTGCAGCGACTGGCTGACAGAGCAGGGTGCCTTTAAAAAAGGGCAATGACCGGCTGGTCTGAGATCAGATCCCAAGTTCAACAGCGTCAGCTAAAGGCATCAGCTGTGCCGATAAGCCAGTGGGTGCACTGGTTTGAGCTCATGGGCCAAATGGCAATGGGGAGTGATCTGGGGAGATGGGAGCCCCCTCCTCTCGGGGTAGGGATGGGTGCAGAGTACGGCCCAGCGATGAAGCCTGCAGCAGGAGGGTGGGTGAAAAGCAACCCCCTGCCCTGGCTCTAGATCCCTCCGGCCTCGGCTTCCCCCTCTTCCCCTCCCCGAGCACCCAGCGTATGGCCCTCAGCTCCGCTCCCTGGCCGGCCGCCCCTCCGCACCGCCTGCAACACGCTAGTCCTCAGAAAGATCCCCCCGTGCACCGCCACCACGTTTCACTCAAGGTAGGAACCGACATTGCCTTTGTCCCTGGATAAGTTGTGTCTGTCCCAGGACAGAGATATCCCGGGATTGGCACGTGCACCCATTGCCCTTCTAATGGGGGTTTAGCAAGCAGCTGAATGCTCTGCTGCTGCTCTGCTGTAGATCCAGCGATGCAGTCCTGGGATAACTGCACGGACCCAGGACGGATGGATGCTACCTCTTCGCCAGGAATTGGGTAGTTTACACAGGATAACGTGTGGATGTCTGTGCGATTGCAAGTGGGTTGTCCCTGCGTAAATGCAAGGTCTAGTTGCAGCCTGAGCTCAGGTGCCTGGGGCTGTTTCAAGCTGCCCTGCCAGCGTGAAGCTCCGTGCCCCAGCCTTGGTTTCTCCACTGGAAGCACCGAGATAAATAACATCCCCCTCCCTCACCAGGACTGGGGTCACAAAGGTTTGTAGGCACCAGGCTAGAGATGAGCCATGGCATCTCTTTGCCCTGAACCTGCAGGGCATGGGCTGACCTGTGCGCGCAGAGGCCGGCGTGTCCAGCGAGGCTGAGGACCAGCCCTTGCTGTGCCCGCGCTGGATGGGGGCAGCTGGCGGTCCCCTCTGCTCTGGAGCCATCCTGCAGCCTTGGGTACCTTGCAAGGTTGCTATGGATACCAGCTGCAATGCTTTTGCCCAAACACGCCGGAGGGATGCCGAGGACAGGAGGGCACCAAGGAGCATTCAGCCTAGCTCAGGGCCCCGACGCTCACCTCTCCGCTCCACCGAGTCCAGCCTCGACGGGAGCCAGGGCAGCGGGGAATGCAGCCTGACCCCTTTTCAAACGTCTTTAATGCTAGCCGTGCCTCTTGCACCCCTGGACCTCGGCCTGCTTTGCACAGACGGGGAGCCAGGAGCACGGGGGAGAGGCGGGCGTAGGACCCAGGAGCCTAGGGAAGGTCTGATCCAGCCTTGCTTGGAGGTTGTGCTGGGGAAGGGGCGGGGGTGATGCTCAGGAGAGGCACCGGCAGCAGAGCAAGCCTGCCAGGACCTCCTGGCATGGCCATGGGTGGCGGGTTTTGGGGCAAAGGCGGCACGGAGAGGCCTTCCTCCAGTATGGAGATCGGCTCGCCGGCCCCCAGCGCAGCGTCCTTGCTTGCTTGCTCCGCGCAGTGGCTGGCGTGGCACATCTATGCCACTGCTGGAGAGCTGGCAGGGAGCTTGGGCGTCTGGTCCAGGCTGGCACCTCTCTGAGACTGGCAGACCTAGCTGTTTCCCTCCAGCCTCCTCCCAAGCCTGCTGGGTTACACCGTTTAAATGCAGAGCTGGGGGTCGGGCGCCTGGGTCCTTGCTAGTGAGTTGCTGTGTGCATTGGGTAAGTCACTTAGCCACTCTCCGGCTCTGACTACCCCATCTGTCATGAACAGATGAGACCTGCCTCTGCGTCCAAGGTGGATAATGACATGCTGCTTGCCCAGGGCTTTAAGATCCCCATCGAAGAGGAGCCAGGGCAGGCACTCGTCTGCAAGGTTATCTTTCCTCCTATGCAGTCATGTAGAGACAGTAATCAGTGGCTGATCAGGACAGAGGCCCTGGGGGCTGTGAGCACTAAGAGCCTCTTGCTTGTCATGTCTAGAGATCTGCCGATGGTGGTTTCGGCCCTGCGGCCCCAGGGGTGAAGGTGATGGCACCTGGCAGGATCGTGCATGAAGCCACCCTGCTCCTAGCACAGCGGGGACATGGGGGACAAATGGAGCCACAGGGTCCCTCCAGCACCCCCGCAATCTCCGCCCCAATGACCCTGTGCGGGGAAACCTTGCAGCAGAGTCCAGCACTCATCACCAGCCCCTGAAGCTGCCTCGACATCCTAGCGCCAACCCATCAGCACCATCCTGTGAGCACGCAAAGCCTCGGGACCCTGTTTGGCAGAGTGAGGATGGCAGGATCGTGCCCCCGCCGGCTCCTGAAGCGAAGGGTGACTTCACCGCGGCTCTCGGAGGTTTACGGTGCTCTGCGTTTGCAGTTCTGGC